TAGGGGCCCTGGAGCCTCTGCTGCCTGGACCCCTCCTGGCTGCCCACCCTCACGCAGGCACTGGTAGGTGGTCCCCTGCCATTTCCCCCCACTTTTGTTCCCCAGCTAGCTCTCACGCTGGCACAGGCAGGAGAGAGTGAATGGGACAGGATAGCTAGACCAAAAATGTTCTTTGCGGGGACTTAGGTCCTAAACCCCAACACCTCCTTCTCAAACTGGAGCTCCTCCAGTCCGGTGCTGCAGTCTCCATCCTTATGTCCCTAAGTGCTGTCTCCCAACCTCTCCCACAAGCCCTGGCGTCTGCCTTAACTTTACTGAAGCAGAGGATCCAGTGGTCTCTGTATCAGTTCACAGCACGTGAATGCATAATAGACGTGACAGTGTGCTTACGATGTGCCTTGGCCTAAGCATTTCACGTTATTAACTCATTCAACGCTCCCTACAACCCCTTGAAGCAGGCACTCTATCCCACTGTACAGAGGAAGACACTGAGGCACAGGGCGTTACTGCGTCTGCCCGAAGCTCTCCCAAGAGTGGCCAGTCTCCAGGAGTGACCTGACTTCTCTCTCTCCCACCAGCGCCCCCCGCCAGCCAGCTCCCCTGGCCGGTGCTGTGCTCCCCAGTGGCTGGGGTGCTTCTTCTGGTCCTTGGGGCTCTTCTCGTCCTCCAGCTCGTCCGGCGCCGACGCCGAGAGCACTGGGGCCCTCTGGCTGCCGCCTGGCTTCACTCGCCGGCCACGGACTCAGCCAGCTCCCCGCCGCCGCCGGCCCCCACTGGGCGAGGACAGCATCGGTCTCGAAGTGAGAATGACGAACCTGGGCTCCCGGGAGGTTCGGGAGGAAGGGGGTCAGGGAGGGGTCTCTCCTGTGAAGCCTCTCTTGACCACAAGTGATGAGCAATTCCAGTGCAGATGTTGAAGGTGGGGAGGGAGGGTTAGGACCCCGATGGTCCTAACCCCATGGACCCTCCACTTTCCCCCTGGCAGGACGCTGAAGCCAGAGGCGGAAGTTGAAGAGGACGGAGTTGTGATGTGCTCGGGCCCTGAGGAGGGAGAGGAGGTAGGCCCAGCAAAAAGGCTGGGGCCAGAATGGTCCCGAGGGGATGGAGGGGATGAAAGGTCGCCTTCACTGACCCTTACTCTTGCCCCAAAGGCTGAAGAAACAGCCCCAGCCCCCAAGTGCCAGCTGTGGCACCTGAGCAGTGGCTGTGGGGCGCTCCCCCAGGCAGCCATGCTCACTCCTCCCCAAGAGTCGGAGATGGAGGCCCCCGACGTGGACACCTGTGGGACCTGGTAGGTGAGCCAACCCAGACAAGAACATGGGGGGGGGGGGACCCTGCCTTTGAACCTTTTAGAAGCACAAAGTCCTTTAGTGTCAGAACTGGAGGCACTGAACGTTAACAGGTGCCTAAGGACACTGATCTCACAGTCTGGGCTGCAGACTGCAGAATCCGCATCGCTTGGCATCTCTCAGAAACGCAGCTGCTTCAGAAACTGGAGATGTTGAGCGATCGGTGCTTTCCTGAGCACGCCACGTGAGTCTGATCAGACTCGAGTCTGAGAACAGAGGCCACGGGGCCAGCACTGTGGCGCGGCAGGTTAAAGCCGACCTGCAGCGCCGGCATCCCGTAAGGGCTCCAGTTCAAGAACCGATGCCCTGGAATGTGAAGGAACGTGGGCTGACTCCTTTTCCAGATGAGGAAACTTAGAGCTCAGAGAAAAGTTAGAGAAGTCACTCAATTAAAGCCGCACAAAATCAACAGCCATCACATAGCCTCCTGACCCCTCCAGCTGTGGTTCCCCTGAGCCTCCAGGTTCACCCCTCCCCCTGGATGCGTCCTCTGTCTGACCTGTTACTCATGTATTACCCACACACAGATGGGGTGACCCCCCTGATGTCAGCAGTCTGCTGCGGGGGCGTGGAGTCCAAGACTTTCCAGGGGACCTGGCTGGGAGGTCCTGAGCCCTGGGAGTCTCTGCTGGATGGGGGGTCCTGCCCCCAGGCTCACACCGTGGGCACTGGGGAGACCCCCCTGCACCTGGCTGCCCGGTTCTCGCGGCCAACCACGGCACGTCGACTCCTCGAGGCTGGAGCCAACCCTAACCAGCCAGACCGGGCAGGGCGCACCCCCCTCCATGCTGCTGTGGCTGCTGACGCCCGGGAAGTCTGCCAGGTCAGCATCTACTGGGGGGGGCCGTCAAGGGAGTGGGACCAGCTTCAGAGGAAAGCTGGGCTGACGCATCCCCCGGGGCTTAACAAAGAGGGAAACCGATTTGGAACCTGAAGGAGAAATTACTGAAGATATCTAAATATGGTCTGGGAAGCTGAACATGTGAGACATGGACCGGTTCAGGGTGCCCCAGGGTATCCGGCCTTCTCTGTCCCTACAGCTTCTACTCCGCAGCAGACAGACCGCAGTGGACGCGCGCACAGAGGACGGCACCACACCACTTGATGCTGGCCGCCCGGCTGGCAGTGGAGGACCTGGTTGAAGAGCTGCTTGCAGCCCGAGCAGATGCGGGGGCCAGAGATAAATGGGGTACGGAGCGGTGGGGATGTGTTATAGAGAATGTGCAGATGGGGTACGAGAGGAGGTGCCAAACACAGGAGCAGCAGAGAGAGCAGCTGGAGGCTGGGACAGCCCCTGGCACCTGTCATGATGGTAACCCGGCCGTGCAGTGGCAGTAGGGAGCCGGTGAGCGCCACCCCTCCCTCACCCTCAGCCACAAACACACACACACCGCCCCAGGCCACGGAGAGCTGATGGAGCAAAGTCCGCGAAAGGAGCGGGGTCTCGTGGGAGGAGGTGGTCTCCGGGTCCCACAGACCCCAAAACAATGCCCCATTGTCCCTCCCGAGCGCCAGTGACGTCACCAGGGCACCGCTTCCTGCCCGCCGGCGGTCGCCGGGGCAACCCTTTCCGCCTTTCACAGACCCAGTAGCCCTTCCTCCAAAGCCAGCACCGTGGGAAACCGGAACCCAGGAGTCTGCCCCCCAGCCGCGGCGTGACAACCTTCCGCATTGTCTCCTAGGGAAAACCGCGCTGCACTGGGCCGCTGCTGTGAACAACGCCCGCGCCGCCCGCTCCCTCCTCCAGGCCGGAGCCGACAAAGACGCCCAGGACAATAGGGTCAGGCCGGGCAGCAGGCCCCTCACAAAGACACTGGGGTGCAGTCGAGATGTAAAGCGCGGGAATCCTGCAAAACCTGGAGGGGGAGGGACCAGTAGGTCGCAGTCAGGAAGGGCTAGTCCTGTGGGCGTGGCCGCCCCTGACAGCGCCCCCTGCTGTCTTCTCCCTCACAGGAGCAAACGCCGCTGTTCCTGGCGGCCCGGGAAGGAGCGGTGGAGGTAGCCCAACTGCTGCTGGCGCTCGGGGCGGCCCGAGGACTAAGGGACCAGGCCGGCCTAGCGCCCGGGGACATCGCCCGCCAGCGGAACCACTGGGATCTGCTGACGCTGCTGGAGGGGGCGGAGCCACTAGAATCACGTCACAAAGCCTCGCCGGGCCGTGAAGCCGGCGCCCTCCCGCGCGCACGGACTGCGTCAGCGAGCGTGCCTCCGCGCGGAGGCGGGGCTCTGCCGCGCAGCCGGACGCTGTCAGCGGGGGCAGGCCCGCGTGGGGGCGGAGCTTGCTTGCCAGCGCGCGCTTTGTCCGTAGACTTGGCCGCGCGCAGGGGCGGGGCGCACTCGCGTTGCCGGAGCGTATCCGGAGGGGCTGCGGGAGGCCCGCCCCCGCGCGGCCGTAGGTATTCTGCGGGCATGCGCGGGCCTCGGCCCCACCCCGAGACGGCGCGAGGAAGATCCGGGGTCGCCGGCGGGGTGTGGAGGCGGGGCCTCAGCGAACGAATGGCCCTGTGATTGGGTGGCCCTGGGAGCCTGCGAGCCCGCCTCCGCCACTCCGATCCCGCTTCCGTGCCTCACTCCGTCCCCTGAGCGGGGATCCCCTCACGTTGTCTGGGGTCTCCCGAGCGACCGAGCGATGCCTTAATTCGCGGGAGAAGAGACTCAGAAATAGAAGGCTACGCGGAGGGGCGGGGTCCTAAAAATTACCACCCGTTACAGGACGGGAAGTCTGGAAGGCTAAGGGTCTCAGATCGAGCCCCGAAAGGGAGACGTCACGAGTTCGCGTCCCCTCCCAAAATGAGTATGCCCACCAGACTTGGCGTCGCCTTGCACGTGGAGAAGCTGCAGCTCTGGGAAGGAGGCAGGCCCTGTCCCTCTCCCAGAAAATACGGGTGAGAGGCCACAGGACAGAGTAAGAACTACAAGCCGATAGGACAGAAGCTGGTCTTTCCCATATATGGTTTCCAAAGGGAGCCTCTACCGCCCGTTACCCCCTCCGCCCACAAATGGACCACAAGTATTTATTAAACACCTACTGCGCGCCAGGCACTGTGTAGATGCCGTGGGCGGCCAAGGACCACCCTCTTCCCCATCCCCAACAAGAAAACTGCAGGCATGAAGTCATTCTTCCAACCAAAGCGAACTCTATTTAAAGAACCCCAAATTTGTCATCTATAATAAATAAAAGCTCATTTAAAGTGTTACTTTTTTGGGGGGGGTCGGAGAACGCAATGGCAAAAAAATATAGGAGTGACTATGTGTGTTTTTAGAATTTCGGCTCAGCATTTTCATGGGGTCTTTAAGAACAGGAATGAATAGATTTGGGGAGTCCCATGTGAATTTAGAGCATTACCTGAAAGCAGCAGCCCACTAGCCCAGGGAGACCCCACACACACGGTTTCCCTCCAGTCCAAGGGCATTCCGTGGTAACCACTCAGGAGTCTCCCTAAGGCCTTCATTCAGTCAAGCAGAGGAAGATGGAGAGAGCATCTGATGTGCTAGCCCCCTTTCAGCAACATGGTTACACCTGTTTAATGTTAAAGAGGCACAAGGCATCTTGAAAACCAAAAATAGTCACTTACCGGGTGTTCACTATGTGCCAAGTGCTTTATTACAATGAATCCTAACATGAGGTAGGTGTGATAAAAACTCCATCTTGCAAAAAAGCGGGCACCGAGATTCTATTTGCCCAGGATTGCAGGCGCTGAATGGTAGAACCAGATCTCATCACATTCCGTGTTCCAAGTCACTCAGCTGTAACCCCCCAACATTGCAGGTAGCCATTGGAGGTTCCAAGTGTATCTTGCTCCCACTTCGGTGCCAGTGAGCCATCTAGCATTATCAAAGACGGAGCCCGGAGCCCAGTCCTCTCCCTTTTCCATTTCTAACCCCTCCCAATTTCATGACCAAAGAGATGTCTTCCCCTGCCCCTTCTTGACTGCACTGAGTTACCAGAACGCACCCCATCGACCTTAAACACCGAGGGCAGGGTCATTCCACGTTCACTAAAGGCCTGTGTGTAGGACCCAGCACTAGGAGTACACGCATGTATTTGAGAGCCTGACATCCTGGGTCTGAAGACCCCCTGCTTCCAGTGGACCCACGTTCCTGCCAGTCCCAATTTGCCTGGGAGAGGCAGGGCAAGCTATCAGGGTCGGCCTGAAGGAGTGAAGGGACCAGGCTGGGGGGAGGGAGATTCTGAGGACTGAAACCACTTCCTGTGTAACTAGTTCCTGTGTTGACAGAAAGAACTGAAGGGGGTGGAGGGAGCAGAGCCACGGTTTGGGGGGGCCACCGAGGCTTTGGAGACGAGAAGGCCAGGAGTCCGCTTCCACCAAGAGCCCCCTTCACTCCTGCAGCTGGGAAAGTTTTTCCCAGCCTCTGTGCTCCCCTGGGGAGAGGTCAAAGGAGCCGTTTGGGTGGGAAAAGAGAATGGAGGAAGTTGACAGGGATGGGCGGGGCCCGTGGGGGGGCTGACCAGGAACCCAGCTTCCTGCTCAGTACCCAGGCGTCCAGCCCCCAGCTCACCCCCACCCCTTCCAGCCCCCACTCCCCTCAGGAACCCAAGGTTCCTGCCCTCTGCCGAATCCCAGCCACCCCTCCCCCAAAGGTTTCTCCCCTCCAGGGCATGGAGGCGGAGAGACCCCAGGAAGAACAGGATGGTGAGCAGGTGAGCTGGGCACCGGACCACCGGACGGGGAGGCCAACACTGGCAGAGCAGGGAAGTAAGAAGACCTAGGGCAGAGACCCAGGCACAGGGGATTTGCTGAGGCCTGGGCAAATGGGGCAGGAACAGAGGCACAGAGAGAAAATGGGCCCCTGGCCTCGGCTGATGCCCCGGCTTGACTGGAACGGACGTCTCTTGGCATCAGGACTCCGCTCAGGATGAACAGAGCTGGCCCCCTCTGAACTCCACCCCTCGGCCTTGGCGATCTGCTCCTCCGTCCCCTCCTCCTCCAGGGACCCGCCACACAGGTACCCCCTCTCACCCAGGGACCACCTGGACCCCGATGCCCACCGACATCCGGGCCTCAGTACCAAGGCCCACTCCTCCTGCGTCTCCGGCGGCCTCCCCGCACATCCCCTCTGCTCTAACCCCAAGTCCCCACCCCACCCCCGCCACTCCCGCCTGCCAGCCAGCCTCTCCGGGTCTCTGAGCCCTCTTCCCTCCTCTCCCCAGCCCTGGGGCCGCGCTCGGCCTCCCTGCTCTCCCTGCAGACCGAGCACCTTCTGGACCTGGTGGCCGAGGCCCAGTCCCGCCGCCTAGAGGAGCAGAGAGCCACCTTCCGGGCTCCCCAGAACCCCCCGGCGCTAGCGGCCCCCCCCATCCCGGCCTCTGGAAGACAGAGAACAGCTCTATAGCACCATCCTCAGTCACCAGGTGAGACCCCCCTGGAGGCAAGGGCCAGGCCTCCTGGGCCTTACCTCCTTTTCTGCCTGGCCATCTGCCCCACTGGCGCTAGGTTTCCCTCTGTGCCCCCTACCTCAACCCTAGCTCCTGTCAAGGGCCCCCTCCCCTCAGACCCCCACCAATGCCCACCCTCTCCGGCTCTTCCAGTGCCAGCGGATGGAGGCCCAGCGGTCAGAGCCTCCCCTCCCTCCTGGGGGACAGGAGCTCCTGGAGTTGCTGCTCAGAGTTCAGGGTGGTGGCCGCATGGAGGAGCAACGTTCCCGGCCCCCCACACACACCTGCTGAGGCTTGAGCCTCTCACCGGCCTGCGCTCACTCCTGGGGCTCATATCTGGGCGATGCACTGCCTGCCCTCCACCCTGCTTGGCACAGGTGCCAGAGACTGGAAGCCCCAGCAGAAACCTCAATATGCATCACCCTCCTCACCGTCCCTGGGAACCAGAGGGGGTGAAAGTCCTCAAAACTGGGGAACAGGCAAGGTAGGCTGGGCCTTCAGCAAGCTCTTGACAGAAGGAGGAGGCCAGCGGCCCATCTCACAGAGCGGCTGGGAGTGGCTGCCCTGCCTTGTCCCCTGCCACCAGCCACCAGCCACAGTGCAGGCCTGAGGGCTCAGGCCTCCTCCTCCCAGGGAAAGGCAAATCTCCCAAGATTATGACCTGAGAGCCAGCCCTACCCTCTGAGCTGGCAAGGAGAAAGGGAGGACGGGGGTAGCGGTGAAGACACTGAAACCTGTCCACCACCCCCAAGCCCAAGGCTGAGGCTTAGAGGCCGTGGGTGGCCCTTTAGCCCTGCCCCACCCCCTCCCCACCGCTGCTCTGAGTCTGTGTGATGTTTTGGTTTTATGAATAAATGTGATTCCCCTCTGGACTCCAGTCTGATGTCTGGGGGGGGGGGGGGTAGAGGGTAGGAAGGTGAGGCCAGAGGCCGGGCCTCTCTCCCCTGTCTGGCCGAAGGCCAGCTCCCCTCCCTGGCTGCTTAATTACTGGCTCATTAAGCAGCGGCTGGAGACCTCCCTAATTATCTCCCCCACCCCCTCCCCTGCCTTTAATTAAGTAGAGCAGGGAGGGGAGTCGTTAGAACAAGAAATATGAACTGAGCGGTCCGTGAACCCAGGCGGCGCAGCAGCCCGAGCCCACGTCCCCTCGGCCGCTGCCGCAGGGCCCAGGCGGCGGGCCCCCAGCCCCCGCACAACCCTCCGGGGCCGCGGAGGTGCACGCCCGGGCCTTCCCGCAGGCCCGTTTGCCTGGTGGGCCGGCCGCCTCCCCTCCTCCACTCGGTCTCGGTTCCTCTGTTTTCTGTGCGTCTCTCTCCGCCCCCAGCTCCTCCCTGTTCCTCCTCTCTTCTCCCCTCCTCTTCCTCCCCGGCTCCCCTCCCCCAGCCTCCCTCCCTCCCCCCTCCTCCCTCCTCCCTCTCTCGCACACACACCCCCGCTTGGGCCTCCTCTCTCTCTCTCTCTCTCCGGCTCCATTTTCTCCGCCGCCGGGGGCCGGGGTCTCCTGTGGGGGCCCAGCCGGTACCCCAGGCCTCCCTTCAGTGCCGGGGTGAACCCCCGGGGAGCTGGGAGCCGGGGAGACGGGCGGGGGTTGGGGCGGAGGGAGCAGCGGCCCCGGCGAGTTTGGGGGGGAAGTAACCAGGCGGGGGGAGGGGCGGAGCAGGGAGGGGGCCTCAGGGCCCCCCCCCAGCTATGGACGAGCGGCTGCTGGGGCCGCCCCCTCCAGGCGGGGGCCGCGGGGGCCTGGCATTGGTGGGTGGGGAGCCTGGGGGCCCTGGCGAGCCTCCCGGTGGCGGAGACCCCGGTGGGGGTAGCGGGGGGGTCCCGGGAGGCCGAGGGAAGCAAGACATCGGGGACATTCTGCAGCAGATAATGACCATCACCGACCAGAGCCTGGACGAGGCCCAGGCCAAGTGAGTGCCCCCACCCCGTGACCCCACACAGACCCACCAGAACCCTGTTCACATGCTCTGAATCTTATGGGAGCGCCCCCCTCCCCCGAGTGCAGGGCCGGCTCCAGGATCCTCCAGCTCTCTTCTCTCCTTATTCCTGGAAGCCCCTAGAAAAGTGATCCCTCTCAGCCCTCCCTTCACCCGGCACCCTGAGACCTTCACAGAGGGAACCCCAAGTTCCCTCCTAACCTTTTGGTGACCCCTACCCGCGCGTGGAACAGCCTCCGTCCGGAGCCCCCTTGAGATTCCCAGACTAGAAACTGTTCTTGGGCTGTGCAGTCTTCTGCCCTAACTCCTCCCAGCCCACCCCCATTCCCTTCGGATCTGGGGCCCTCCACACCCCTCCTGAGGGAGCCCCAGTTCAGCGAGACACCAGGTGCATCAGCTCCCACCTGCTCACCACCCCCCCTGCCCTGCACTGACCACACCACCGGCCCCTCTTGGCTCTACCCCTTTCAGCCACCTCAAACTTGGGACTCTTCCCCATCTACCCCAGCCTGCATCTCCGAAGTCTACATTCAGTTCATTTCTCCCAGCAGCACCCCAAACCTTTCTCCATACTTTTCCTAGACCATCTCCCAAAGCCCTCAGCCCAGCCAGGCACCTGCTGCCTGCATCTTGCAGCAGAGTAGCTTCCCCGGCTCTGGAGTTCATCTTTCCCCAAGAGCCACCTCCAACCCTGCTTCCTCCCTCCATGCATTTACCGCCTGCCTCCTTGTCCCCTCTTGCGCCCTCATAGTAAGAGCCCCCAAGCTCTGTTTCTCTAGCACCTCACCTCTCTTTCCCCACTCCTGCTCCTCCCAAGGAAACACGCCCTAAACTGCCACCGAATGAAACCTGCTCTCTTTAGCGTCCTGTGTGAAATCAAGGAGAAAACCGGTATGTGAGTCCCCCTCTGATTCTTCACCTCTGGGGACAGAACCCTGCTGAACCCTGCTCACTACAAAGAGTTGGACAGCGTGGGACCCTGAGGAAAGTGGGGAGTCGGGGAGGTTGCTGAGAGGCTCCGGGGAAGGCACTAAAGTCTCCAGGAGCTGCCAGGAGGACTGAGTGTTGGGTGTGAGGTCCCTGGGTCCCTAAGCCCACTCACCTGCATGCTAGGCCTCAGCATCCGAAGCTCCCAAGAGGAGGAGCCGGTGGACCCACAGCTGATGCGCTTGGACAACATGCTTCTGGCAGAGGGTGTGGCTGGGCCCGAGAAAGGGGGGGGCTCAGCAGCAGCCGCTGCAGCCGCTGCGGCCTCTGGGGGCGGCGTGTCCCCTGACAACTCCATCGAACACTCGGACTATCGCAGCAAACTTGCCCAGATCCGCCACATCTACCACTCAGAGCTGGAGAAGTATGAGCAGGTGAGGCGAGGCCCTGGTGGGGGAATCCTTCGGCTGAAGGGCCCCTCCCCAGCAGCCCACCGCCCTCCGCACCACAGGCATGTAATGAGTTCACGACCCATGTCATGAACCTGCTGCGGGAGCAGAGCCGCACGCGGCCCGTGGCACCCAAGGAGATGGAGCGCATGGTCAGCATCATCCACCGCAAGTTCAGCGCCATCCAGATGCAGCTTAAGCAGAGCACCTGTGAAGCCGTCATGATCCTGCGTTCCCGCTTCCTGGATGCCAGGTGGGACTCGGGGAGCCAGGCCAGCCCCCCAGCACCAGGCTCCATCCCTCCCTCCCTGACAGCCTGGGCCATCGTGTCCCTGGAGCTCCACAGTGTGCCAGCCTTGCCAGACGCCAGTGTCCTCCTCCCCATTTTTCTCCCGCTTCTGCAGACGGAAACGCCGTAACTTCAGCAAACAGGCCACTGAAGTCCTCAACGAGTACTTCTACTCACACCTGAGCAACCCATACCCTAGCGAGGAGGCCAAGGAGGAGCTGGCCAAGAAGTGCGGCATCACCGTCTCTCAGGTTTTCTGGGGCTTGGGGAAAGGAGTTTTCAAGCAAAGAGGGCCTATTTGGTGGGGGGGCTACATGGGGAGGGGTTCTGCTTCATCCCCTGTTTCTGTGCAACACCACGCAGGTCTCCAACTGGTTTGGCAACAAGCGGATTCGCTATAAGAAAAATATTGGGAAGTTCCAAGAGGAGGCAAACATATATGCTGTCAAGACCGCCGTGTCAGTCACCCAGGGTGGCCACAGCCGCACCAGCTCCCCGACACCCCCTTCCTCTGCAGGTAGGAGCCCGCCGTCACCCCAGCTGGCTGTTGTGCACACTTCCTGCTTTTGTTCCTACTTCCTGCATGGGCAGGATCATGGCAGAGGGGACCCGTTTGGGCTTGAGAGGGAGCAAGCTGAGAAGAGGTTGGGACGTCAGGGGTCAGAGGTCACTCCAGGGAAATGACTTCCGCCCACTCCAGTAGGTGGCCAGGGGAGGCTCAGAAATAGCCTGTTGGGTGGGAGTGTTGATACTTTTGTGGGTAATTTGTGTCCAGCGGCACATCCCAGAGAGCCGCCTTGGGGGCTTTTTGGAAACAAAGTTGTGGTTCACTTGCTGTCAGGGACTCTGCTCTCCCTGATTCTCTCTCTGCTCCCCCAAGGTTCTGGCGGCTCCTTCAATCTCTCAGGATCCGGAGACATGTTTCTGGGGATGCCCGGGCTCAATGGAGATTCCTATTCTGCTTCCCAGGTCAGGTGGCCAGTCTCCTCTCAAGTAGGGCTTTCCTGAATGCCACTCCCACCCCCATTTGGGAGATGGAACTTTGGCCTCTCTTCACTGTCCTTTCTCCCTCTGCGACCTGCAGGTGGAATCACTCCGACACTCGATGGGGCCTGGGGGCTACGGGGATAACCTCGGGGGAGGCCAGATGTACAGCCCTCGGGAAATGAGGGTGAGTGGGTCTGGAAGCCCCCCACCCCGCAACCTCTGCAGCTCTCACCAGAGGGAGGGCTTTTTCCCCAGAGGCGTGGTCCTCACACAGGGCATCCCGTGACCCCGTTCCAACTGTCTCCCTTGTTCCAGGCAAATGGCGGCTGGCAGGAGGCCGTGACCCCATCCTCAGTGACATCCCCAACGGAGGGACCAGGGAGTGTTCACTCCGACACCTCCAACTGATCTCGCCCCTCAGGGTCACGGGGTGGGGCTGTCACCAGGCGACTCGGGAAGAGGACGTGGGCATCCGGAGGACAAACCCCAAACACAGGAGAAGCACAAGACAGAGAAGGGCAGATGGGGTTGTCCCCTCCCAACAAGACTGAGTGCTGGGGGTGCTGACCACGAGGCAGGGAGAATGGGGCCCCTGATGGGAAAGTGGGGTCTCCCCGATTTCTCCTCTTCTCTTTTTTTCTCTCCCTCTTTCATACACAGAAACCTATTTTTCAGACCCCTTTTTCTCCTTCCTCCCACCTTTCTCTCTCTCTCTCATACACCCACATTCAACTATTCTGTTTCTCTGAGCCACACCTCCCTCGCCCCACTTTCCCTTTTTCCCCACCCCACTTATATGCTCTGGAATCTGTGGAGACGCCAGCCCTGCCCAACCAGAGATGCCAAAAATGGGGACACGACTGGACAGAGGACATGGGCCACGCCCCCCGTGCATCCCCACCCTGCCCCTCCAGACGGCTTTATTACCTCATACGCAGCTCATCTTAAACCAATAGAATCGCTCGGTGGAAGAGTGTCTGACTCAGATATCTACCTCGGAGGGAGTTTCTGCTACTTTAGGGAATTCTTGACTGGGCTTTGGGGTTGGACTTTTTTTTTTTTTTTTAAGGAAAGAATAAGAAGCCCTGGGATCCATCTGTAATTTTTTTTTGTTTCTGATATTTTGGTTTGTTGGTGTTGTTGGTTCTTAATTTTTAATTTAGTTTGGGGAAGTAGGTTTTTTATATATATAAAGATATATTCCTTTTTTTAATTTTATTTCTCACTTTCCTATATTAGGGGTGATAGCAGCCAAAGGGGTTCTGGTAAGAGAAAAGGGAACA